AAAAATAACAAAAGGCAATTTTCAAATTGTCATCGATAACTTACAGAAACCTTTCTCATATCCCACCGAGGCTAAACATTTACATAATTTCTTACCACATCCTTCACTACAATTATCATAGTCCTCTTCCTTGCTAAAACCTGGTCGGCCAAACACCTCATGGCGCCGAACTATCATGGCTGAACTCTGAGTGAGGTAAAAGATTACCTGAAGCGAGGTACAAAATGCTACTCAAAACAGGGCGAAACGGATTGTTATTGCCTATTCCCCTTACTAACTTTCTTTAACTTTTTTTTCGAAGAAAAGTTTCTGATAAAAATGCACTATCGTGGTTTACTCGAACACGACAAGGTTATACGTTAGCATCTTGTTAAACTGTGCTTAGAATAGTTGGCGGATCAGGAGTTTTAGCATATCCTCGTATTGTGTTCTTTACGCACGAAAATTGACTCAGGCAATATTTTGAGTGTTATTCAGAAACAACGTTTGAAAGGTCTACCCTAGCTGTCCTCTAACTTGGTAAAATTGCTGTTCAGTCGAACCTCCTCTAGCGGCCACCTCGCTGCAACGGCCACTTTCCTCTATCCCAAAGGTGGTCATTGTGGAGATTTCAACTGTAGTAATCTTAAATGCGGGGTCGTGGAATCCATAAATTAAACTTCATCGATGATTGATCGATGTTGCGTATTTGAGGCCTAACCTCCTTACCAACTTAAGAAAAGCGTAGTACAGGGTGCCAGGGAATTTTATGGAAAGCCTTATAAAATTCTCAGACAAATTCAGGACGTGAGGCCTTTTGACTCATTGTTCATTCGCGTTGAAAGGAATATGCTAATATCGTTAGACGTATGATTGAATGTTTTGGGGTTGATTTTATGAAAGAAATTATAGAAAACTGAAAATACTTTACACTCTTGCTGGTTCGAATTAGATCAACTTTGGAGTTCTTCCAATATTTCCCTCGTTTTTGCTTTTTGTCATCTTCCACTGTAAAAGGATCATATTCTGCACACCATCCGACATTCACTTTTACCCCCCTTTTAATTTTAACTAACGACTCTCCAACTACCATAAAATCCCAAAGCCCTGGGAATATATAACTTCACAGGGGGTTTTGGGTGAGCTTATAAACGGAGGGGGGGTGGGCTTATATCCGGGGGGGGGGCTTATAAGCGGAATAAGAAAAATGTTTCGGAACGACGAAATANTATAAGCGGAATAAAAAAAATGTTTCGGAACGACGAAATAAAACGTATCTGAGAAACGAATTAAAGCTAACATACCATTACATTTAGAGCTATCACCCTATTATTACCCTATTATTACCCTATTACCCTATTAGCCTATAACTTTGAATTACAAATTTTGATGTTTGTAAAGAAACGCAAAACGAACGTTCTGACACATTAGATGGGCTTTTATCCGGGAGGGGCTTATATCCGGGGGGGGCTTATATCCGGAATAACATCTTTGTTAGAAAATAGAAGGACTTATATCCGGGGGGGGCTTATAACCGGGGGGATTTAACGTGGGATTTTACGGTATCTCCTTTTCAGATACAAACAGCGTACTGTGTCGCGTTAACCCGTTTTTCGTGCTGGAGATGGTCAGAGATAGCTTAACTATTGTCACGTTCGCACTTTGCTCTAAACTAGTCACACCACGAAACTTAGGACTGAGGAAGGGCTAGGCCCAAAACGTCTACCATGGAAATCGAGTTTAATTTGGCACTGAATTACTACTATTAACAACTTCAGACCACTAACAACTGTTGAGACAGATACGGGAGACACTCTTTGGAATCAAAGGGGTTTTTTATCCAAGAAATAAGACGTTGCGCTACAGAGAATTAAGTTATATGTCTTGTAGCAAATTATACTTAAAGAGAAAAGATGTTGATTAATTTAAAGGATGGGGGCTCAAACACGGCAACTGCCAACCATTGAACGTTTGGTCTTGAGTCTCTGGGTCTTGCCCTGGGGTCATTTCTGGTTTCAGAGAGGCCCTGCATACTAAAAAAGCTAAAGTAAAAAAGTCTAAAAACGCTAGTATGTCTTACTTGAGGTAGAAACTTCTAACTACACAGCAAGAATAGCCTAATCCATATTTATTGTAAGCTCTAAATAAAACTTAAAAAAGGAGCAATAAGGTATATCATCTTGCCTTGCATTAGAGCCTGTCTTACATGATTTTTAAACATCTGACTACGTAGGAAGAATAGTCAAATCCATATTTATTGTAAACTCTAAGTAGAAATTAAATGAATAATATTTAAAGGAGCAGTATAGAAAATGGTCGTTTATTAAGTATAAATCTTTTAGTTACGTGTGCCGTACGTACTTACCGATTTCAGAGAATCCTCCGTGTGATTCTTATAAGTGCTCAAGTCTTTTTCTGTTTTGTCAGCTAACGAATAAACCGCGCTGATGGATACGCCGAGTTGGTTCATCTGAAAAAATATATATATATATAGGAAAGTAATTTATTATCAAATATATATAAACTGGCATTAAGGCAACTGGTTACCAAGTTGGTTTTGAAAAGCCAGCGTTCGCGCCTACAGTGGCCCTCGAACTGGTTTTTTATAATGACGCGACCCTGAGTATTTCTGTTCCCCCGCCCTACTTCACCTAGAATGGGAGTTAGTCCGTGAGCCAGGCAGCCAAATTTAGGCTGTCGGTATCATTCAGGGTGAATAAGTTTC